AAATTGTTGGTGTTACACCACCACTAAGGATGCAGAATGCCTGGAAGACATAAATGTCTTTCAAAAGCATAGAAACAAGTTTTTAAAATTCAGTGTCTTTCCTACAGTAGATATCCAGAGATGGTTTTACAATAGTTATGGGATATATATTTCACTATTTGCTTAATATTACTTCTATTGTAATATGGAATGAAAGTTTTTGTTTTAAGGAAAATTACCATGTTATTAATTTTGACATTGAGCAGTAGTTGTTCGTTTTATTTATTTATCATTTAATTTTTAAATGTCCTGTTTAAATATGTGTAATCAAATAATTGAATTTCTGCATTAACATTTTGTTTCTGGAAAAATGTATATAGGTGACTTCTTGCTTATGTAAGTGTAATTTAATCATTGTTTAATTTATTTTTTTTGGGCACAAGCTTCCTCCTCTTCAGAAATATCTGGTAGGCAACTACTTTTTAATAAAACAAATGTTACCTTTGTAATTTCTTATTTGGTTGCTTGCAAGTTTTTGTTATCTTCAAAGAGTTATGTTTTTATTAAGTATATTGATTTAATGAAATGTTTTTGATGAAGGAAATACTCTAATTTTATGTTGAGGTTTATATGCTCATAAAGGTATTGCACTTTTTGTGTGATATTTTGTAAACAATAAATATAGTACTGTGAAGCACAAGGAGTTGTTGTATCAGGTAACAAAAGACAGATTAATGCATACCACTTAAGTTAGATTACCCAAGCTAATGAGTGGTTTTTGAAAAAAAAAAACAAAAAAAAAACCAAAAAAAAAAACCGAGTATATATACATTTTAGTACATGTATATGTGTACTGTTGTATATTTTGAATATTATAGCTAATACTGTAGTTGAGGATTTGCCTCTAGGAGTTTTTTGTTTTATTTTCTATTTGTTTCCTATTTATCTGGCATGCATTGAATAAAAATTAAAATAGAGTTATGCCTTTATTATAAAAGAAGTGCAAAGAGAGAGGTGAAATTTAGCACATTCCAAAGAGCCTGGAGACTTGTGTATAAATAACAAAAAAATAGCGGACAGGGAGAGATAAGAATTGTGTTTTGTATGTAATTATAGAGATGCAGAAAAAAATGTGTCCTGTATTTTATTCTTTCATCTCATGAATATGGGTGAATGTTCCTGCAAACAAACTCGGTGAATTTTTGGATTCCTTTGGTATGCTTATTTTGTCTACAATGCATCATGGTACTTTTTAAAATGATACAAACTGGACAATAAATACAATTGTAAATGTATATTCTATTGATTTGGGATGTGTTTTGATCATTTTTTGAGTGCCTAGTTTGCCCCTTACTAAACACTACAAGATAAAATGCAAAAACTCTTTCTTGAAGCATTTTATTATCCTGTTAAGTGCTCTGTGGATAGGGACCCATGATCACAAAACTAAGATGTATTAGAGCCAATATTCTAACTATGTGCCAAACTCCAAAAATGTGGCTGCTGCATGCTTTTGGTGGATTGAATGGTTAAAGATAGATAAAGCTTATGTATTAGAACATAAGACAACTAAAAAATTGAGAACTTCAAAGTATATGGTTTATAAAGAACTCTTGATTGATTGTGGTACAGTGTTTGAATCTGTCTCTCCCATCTCTTGTTTTATTAATCAGCTGCTAATGTCTCATCTCACTGGTTAGAAATTTTTTAAATAGAGTAAAACATGTAGAAGTTAAATCTACCACTGTCTAAAACTAGTAAAATTCGGGGCTGGGGATTTAGCTCAGTGGCAAAAGCGCCTGCCTGGCAAGCGCAAGGTCGTGAGTTCGGTTCCCGGTACCGGAGAAAAACAAAAACAAAAACAAAAACAAAAAAAAAAAAAAAAAAAAAAAAAAAAAAAAAAAAAAAAAAAAAAAAACTAGTAAAATTCAAAATAAATTAATATAGTTTTGGATAATCTATAGTTTTAGGATTATTCATAACCTAATATATTGTGTAATATTTTCTAAGTTGCATATTTTCTTAACATTTTCACAGAGTTCATTATGTTTATCTTTGTATCTAAATAGTGCACATATATACTAAAGATTTCATGCTTGTGTGGCATTTTTCCATGGCAGAAGCATGTTTTAGAATTATTTAATGACCTTACCCTTAATACTCATCCTTACTCTAAAGGGAAATCCCTTTATATATTGAAATAATTCACAAATTTGCTATTTATTTTTTATTAATGACATGTTTTAATAATATTTACATAAAATATTTAAGCGGTCTGTTTTTCTCTCCTTTTTTTCGTACTGGGGATGCAACCCAGAACCCAGAGCCCTGCCACTGAGCTACATCCCCAACCATCTTTTAAAATTTTTTGCTTTTGGGCTCAAACTTTTTTTTTGTTTTGTTTTGTTTCCATTACTGGGAATTGAACTCACAACATCGCGCTTGCAAGCCAGGCAGGCACTGTGCCTCTGAGCTAAATCCCCAGCACCCTCAGCTCAAACTTGCAATACCCTTGCCTTAGCCTCTCAGAGTATTAGGATTACAGGCCTGGATCACCGTGCCCAGCTCTAAACTCAAGAGTATTGGTGCATACAGAGACTATTTCAAAGAATGTTGTTCGATACCCTATTAGTGAATAAAACTAAGTAGCACCAGGAATTTTTCCGATAGCTCATCACCAGACAGGAAAAATAAATTTCTTCCGCAGTTCACCATATTTGGCAAATACCACCATTCCTTCCTTTGATCAGTGACTTTTTTCTTAACTCTAGATCCGCTTAGCATAAAGTGACAGGAGAAGCTGAAACAGGTTTTGTTTTTTCTTTCTTTGATCCTCTTTCTTGTCTCTAACTGGTCTATACTCATGTAAGCATTAAGAGAATTTACACTGCAACTTGATATGCAAGTCTTATGTATAAAAGATAACTAAAATTTTTAAAAGACATTAGAAGCCTATTTTGAGGATCTAGCTACAGTTTTTTAAAAGCCTGTTGTTGCATTTTATGGTAAATTATGTTTTTAATATATTTTATAGTCATCATTTCCAAGTCAAGACCATGTGCAGATATGTCAGAAAATTTTGCTTATAAAACTACTGTTCTTCAGTTGTAACTAGTACATTAACTTTTAGAAGTAAGATGGCTTAAATTATCCTACATTTAAGAAGACTAGGAATTTTCTAGCCTTTAGGAATAACTAGATCATATTTGGATAATTAGGTGCCATTATTTGATATACTGTCTTGGAGCATAAGATTTTCATAAAATGAGAAAATGCTTCAAATGTAGAAAGTTTTCTACTAAACTAAGGAATTTTGCTAGTATTTATAGTAAAATACAAATGATTATAGTAAAATACTAATGATATTTTATAGAAAGTATTAAAATAATGTCTTCAGAAATACATACTGTAGTGTTACATAAAATCTAATGTCTACTTTTGATGTCTCTTTCTTTTGTTTGGATTGCTTTAGGTGTTTTTTTTTTTTTTTTGAATTTTAGTTTATTAATGTTTTGAAGTTTAGACTGCCCATAGCCCTTGTGGTTAGTTGCAGTGTTTTTTCAAAGTTATTACATTGAGGATAATGAGAGAAATAATAACAATGTGCTTCTTAAAATGCTTTACTACTACTGCATGATTAGGGATCTTAAAACAATCTGTGAGTCCTCACTTCCACTTATACATCCACCTTTTATCATCATGATTGCCACTTATTATTTCTGAAAATATTTCTGATGTGCCACTCCAATTTCACTTTGTCTTCTCCACCTTCTTAGAATTTCTACACTATTCGAGCCCTGTTTTTTTTCTTTTCTTCTTAATTTTTTTTTTTTTTGTCTTTTTGAGACAGGATCTCACTATGCAGTTCAGGCAGGCCTTGAGCTCACTTGGTAGCCCATGTTGGTCTCAAACTTGCAACTATCTCCTGCCTCGGCCTCCCGAGTGCTGGGATTACAGGCTTGCGCCACCACACCTAACCTTTTCTTCTTAACTGATAGACTCAGATAGAGAAATATTGGAGAATTTCTAAATAAAAAGAAACTAAAATAATTACTTCTTGGTGTAATCAAGTTTTATTTTCATTCCTAACTAAAAAAATACATCTTGCTAATGCTGTTTTATCTGTTTAGTTTTTTTTCTGTTAGTTATTTTAAATATCTGAAGTTGTTTTGTAGCTAGAGACCATTGTTCATAAATTGGTGGGAAGACAGTGTAAAGGGGACTGCTTTTAAATGATTCATCATTTAATTAACAAATTTAAAATTTCAAACCTATAAAGTATGTGGTTGCTAATTGTCTATAAAGCATGTGCCTATTAAATACATAAGCATTTATTTTCAGTTGCTTTACATTAGTGTAAATTTTTAAATGAGATTCAGATACTTAGTTTTTACTGCAAACTTAGAATGAAATTTTAAAGCTATTTAGATTTTTGGTTGTTGTTCTCAGCTGATTTGTTTTTCGCCTTTGTGTCCCTTTATGTGTTTGTCAGTCTGTGGATTCTCCCCTTTTCTCTCCATTTGTGGTAGAGAGAACTCAGATCTAATAACATCAATCCTTGTACCTGAAAACAATTCCTTATCAAATCCTACTAGTTTTTGCTCCTCCATAAGTCATTTCATTTTCTCCATATGTTCTTAGCTTCTGCCTTTGATGGTCTATTAGTAGTACTGCTGGCTTATTTATTTACAGTCACTATTTTGTCCTAGATTTATTTCTTTTACATTACTTTCAGATGTGTTTTCAGGAACAATACTGTTGTTGTTAAATTTGAAATTATCTGTGATCTTCATATAGAGCAATATTAGAGATTCTTCAAAATGGAGTGTTTGCTCCTTGTTTAGAGATACTAAATAACTTGTATCACAGTGAACGGACAATATTTCAGAATGGTAGATGATAGTCATTTTTAAGTGAAAAATTTTACATATAGTGTGTATATATGTAATATAAATATTTAAATAGTCATATATAGTATAAATATTCTTATAAGGCAAAATCTTTTTTATGTATATTTTCAGTGAAAGAATTTCTAGCCAAGGCCAAAGAAGACTTTCTGAAAAAGTGGGAGAATCCTCCCCCGGTAAGGAATAGTTGCATTTTTCTACAAGCTAAAATTTTTGTTAGGTAAAATCATGACTCTAGCCTAAGTAATTTACTGCTTCAAAAATTTTCAAATGCCTTTATATATATATAAGCTTAAAATGGGAATTATCATGATATGTTTTAATGTATTAATAATTTTATATATACCTAAATTGGAGAAGGAATAAATTTTTCATATAATGCCTAAATGTAAGTGGTTATGCTAATTCCAAGTTGCTATAAACTCTTGATATTTTCTAATATTAATTTTGAATTATGTCTTTGACAGCATACCTAAAAGTTAGACATTGTAATTACAGAATATTAGACACTGTGTAATGTGAAACATACATGCAAGAGAAGAAATAAGGAAGATGGTATATTTTTATTGTAGAAAGAAAAGCAATGACTAGCATAAAGAGATGCTCTGTTGTATACTAATGGTGTTTTTTTTTCCATTATTTGTTGGGGACAGTATTAAACATTTCAATCCATTTACGTTGATAAACCAAAAATTAAATATAAATCTGTAAGATTCATTTAATCAGAATTATGAGGCCATTTCCACAATGATACTCTTGTTAAGTGTGAGATTAGAACAAATTTTATAAGTAAAATGTAAGGTGGCTTCCCCTCTGTAATGATCCAACAAGAAACTCTATGATGTATCATAAAAGACAATGTTTCATTTACAGTAGAGATTAAATTCAGAAGCAGTGAATTTCAACAAGTATCCAGATTTACTGCATATACGTAATCATATTACATCACATTTTTCTCAACCTAAACACTGTAAACTGAGATTTAGAAGTATTTTTCTGACATTTTCATGAATATCTTTATAAAGAAAACTATTAAACAAATAGGTCAGCAACCACTGCATGCTGCTATTTAGTGCATAATTTGTTCCTAGTAATTTTCATTTTGTTGTGGAAGCAACAAATTCAATAGATTGATGCCTCCAATTCTTTGTATGCTGTTGTCAAAGCCAAAGATGTTGGCTTGTAACAAAACATCTATTCAAGGAGAAAAAAAGAGTCTGATTATTGTGAGACTAGCTTTTGGTTCTTCGTGGGATGAGAAACTCTTCTTTCCTTATTGTTACTATTTTAGGTAATGCTAGGTTACTACAGTATCAGTAGACTTTCCTTCATGTTGCTATTATCTAGTTCTATAAAGTCCTATAAAGATACAGAGGAAGTAAGAATGCTTCCTGCAAAGGTAATTCCAATGGAAAGACTGATCTTTCAGCTTATCTACTCAGTCTGATTATATACAAGGCTGCAGCTTCCATGACTTAGTATACTTCTGGGCAGTTTGTAATTATTAAAATAGCGACATGATTTGCTAGATTCAGTAATAGAAAATCCATACTTGAATCTGACCTTTACACATTCACCTGTGGCTTTTGTTTCCTGCCATGACTGTTAAGCACCATTTTGCAATATAATTCCCTTTTCTCTTATTAGAGCCTCTCTTATTCAAAGGGGAAAGTAGAGCCAATAATTTGAATATTTGGAATGAATATTCCTTTTGTATTATTTCTAAAAGGATAGCTACTTAAACTTCCTATTCTCATGGTGTATTACTAAAGAGTATAATTACAGTCTTATGAAAATTTCTCATTTAAATTTTTAAAAATTTTTCATGCATGTGTAGAATAATGCTGGGCTCGAGGATTTTGAAAGGAAAAAAACCCTTGGAACAGGTTCATTTGGAAGAGTCATGTTGGTGAAACACAAAGCCACTGAACAGTATTATGCCATGAAGATCTTAGATAAGCAGAAGGTAAGTGTTTTCCATTATTTACCTACAGGGTAAATTTCAGTATTATCAGCTAGTCTTTTAAATACATGCAGTATGAAAAGCTACCATTGGCACCCATAAATAATTTTATCATTGTGTTCCTTTTTATTCTCATTTATTGTGACTATATGATGCATAGTTAATAGTTTTAGTACATGGGGATGCTTTACTTCAGTAATGCTTATATGTATGTTTACTAGCAAATTACTGAATTCAATATGTAAAGAACAAGCATGGCTACTACATTCTGCCTTTTAGAAAACTATTGGAACTGGTTACTTAATCCTACGTTGACATAACTGAAATTTGGCAATTTTGTCTTATGATTTATTTTTACTCATATTAGAAGCTCTCTTATTTAATATTGTTTGGTTTAGTAAATTTAAGATACCATTCAAAGCAGGAATATCTTGGGAAACATTTTAGTAAACAATTTTTAATTATCACTTATTAATATCTAATGAATCAAGATACCTGAAGTTTTCACGCTTTACATTTTAACTTCCTGTTTTCCTGGTAATCACCACTAAGGGCAAGAAAAAGAATAATGAATATTGATAAAATATCTTAGATTCTTTTGTTCCTAAGAGGGACTTTCCAGCTCTCAGATATCAGCAGGACAATGAGACGAAACACTAGCAGACCCAACAGTCAGGATTACAGATAGAGACTAGATTAACACTGTCAAATGGAAATAGAATGGAAACCATGTGTGTCGTTTTAGATTTTCTAATAGCCGCATTTTAAAAAGTAAACATAAAAGTAGAAATTAATTTTCATAATATGCTTTATTTAATAGCCCAGTCCTTAACACCGTTAATATAAAATTATTGAGATATTTTACACTTTTATGCTAACTCTTCAAGACCTGATGTGTGCTTTACACTTACACTACATCTCGTCTAGGATGAGCCACAAGAGTTAAATAACCATTTGACTGTGGCTGGTGCCGTCACACGGAGAGAATAGCATCCAGCTAGTCAGAGGTTTCAGTCCAACCTTCATTTTCATTAAAAGTGAACTAATTTTAACATGCCCTGTCATAATGGCTTAAGTCTTTCTAAAATGGCTTTTAATTATCCATTGAACCTCATTCACAAATCTTCTCTAATCATGCTTCTCAAATTAATAATTTTATCACTCTCTCCACTAACTCACTTCCTATTAATTCTTTAATCCGCAATGGTGCAGCAGCATGCTTATTTATCCCGTCTTTAGCTGCCCCACTGAAGAGGCTCTAGCTGGGGTCATCAATCCAAAGACCAATCCTCAAGTCCAGTCCTTTTATTTGTCTTATGTGACCTTGTTTACAGCCTATTACTGTTCTGCTCACTCCCTTGAAACTGTCTTGTCCTGACTTCTGGAATCTCTTCTTTGGACTATGTGCTTGCCTCTCTAGGTTTTCCATTTTTTGTCTCTTCTGTTTTGTTCTGTTTTTTTCCTCTGTCCTTCAGAGACTGCTAATGTCTAGACTAGCTCATCTTTCCTTCTGCTTATTCTGTCCCTTCTCCCTTATCTAACAGCCTCAACCCTTTCTTAAACTCTGTACTCCTCACCTGTGCAGCCTGGGCCTGGTACTTTTAGAGGTCAGTTAGGTCCTGCCCTCATTTTCTAAATGAGGCACGTTTGCATGCTATGTTGGTAGCACAACAGGAAAATGCTTCAGATTTATTGCTTTTATTAAACCTGTCATCAAACTGTTTTTCCTGGGTAGGTCCTAGCATTTTATGTTCTTTCTCAAGGAATTTGTAAAATGTGCATTACTCACTAGATATTGACAAGATAACAAAATATATCATCTTATGTCTTAACGTATTTAGTGAATAAGGTTTTAATTCCTTTTTAAAAAAAATTTTGGCAAAGCAGTGACTTGTTAAGTAAATTACTGAGCCAGTTACCTCATGGATAAATCATGGCAAACAAGTGTTTCACAGAAGAGTAACTGCCATTTTATATAAGTTCTATTACTGCAGTGCCCTGGCTTTATGTATAATTAGGATGAAAGACTGTCTCCTAAATTTTTTCTAGTTTATTTAACTTGGGAAAGATAAGTAATAAAATAATACTACATAGTAACTCCATTTTCTATTAATAAAATTACACAAATCTTTCAATTGAATCAGCTTGGCTTCTTCCATCTTAGAATGAATAATGGATTAAAGGGTAAAATCAATGCAGAAACGGAAAAAAAATCACATTTCTTCTCTCCATGCTGTGTGTGAAGCATTGCTAGGATATATATATATATTTTTTTTTATAAAATAAACATGTATAATGTATCATATGATATATAGTGTGCTATATGTGCTATATTATATATGATATATGTGCTATATTATATATGATATATATGCAGTGAATCTTTACAACTTTGTGGGTCATTAATCTCCTTTTTAAGCTGCTAACTTCTATACGTAATTTTTCAGAAGTCAGACAGCTAGAACCAAGAATTTGACTGACAGATTTCTATGCCTCTACTCCTTATTTTTTCTTTAAAATGTATTTATAATCACTAAGAGCCTTTCTACCACCACATAGTTTGATCCCTGATTAACTTCAGCTGATCTTTTACATTAGCATCATGATTTCCAAAACCTCAGACTTTTTATCTCTATTATTTTTATTTCTATTAATTTATCCACCTCCCTGCCACCAAAATTTTGAACTATATTATACCATTTCCCTTATCCATCAAAAAAGCTTCATCATGTTTATTAAATGAAGTTAGATCTCAGCCTACTCAGAATACAGCCTGTTTCCAGTAGTTCTAGTTTTCCTCCAGTTTCCTTTGCGATCTCTTTCTCATACCATTCCCCACATGTTCTCAATCCTGTACTACTCTGTTTTCAAACTTGACTCCTGGGAGTATGTAATGTCCATTTTAGAGGGAAAGAATGACATGTGGCCTGTTTTCTTTAATAATAGCTCACATGTTTGTCCTTAAAAAAATCAACTGGTAACAAATCACTCTTCAATGCTTTAAGTCTGTGTATTTAACAGAAATGTTTAGGAAGTAAATTCAAATTTTTATGAATTTTGAACTTAAAATATGGACTACATCCCAAGGGATGTATTAGATGTGCATATTTAAAAGTAAGTTCAAATTAAATGTTTAATTTTTAACTATTTAATTTAAAAACGAGCTAAGTACGTATGCTTTGGGAGTTTATATACTTTGAATTTATTTCTATTTTTAATTGTATTATATCCCTCACATACACAGTTGGCTTAAGACTGTAATGCAGACAGCCTCGCTCTTTTAGTTTTCATTATTTATTTCACAAGCCAACATATTGTTTATGCCTAATTAAAAACCTGGTGTATTCTAATATACAAAAGTAAATGCAAAGCAAGAATAATTTTCCAACTGATGTTATATATGATATTGTGAAAATATGACTAATTAGTTTTGTAACTAGTTAAAATATGGATGATAATGACCCAGCTACTTCATGTTACAGATTTTAAAAACTGACTTCCAAACCACTAAGATCTCCAAAATGTTACCAAGCTGATTGAATAGAAAGTGTAGGCTAGAACACAGATCTTCTGACTCCTGGTGCATGATTCTTTGCTCAGTATTACTTCTATAGTCTTTATTTTACATAGTATACCATTAATTGGCTGGTATCTTTAGTTATGCTTCTTTTTCATGTTTAGATGGTTTGTTTCTGTAACCACATCCACAGTGATAAGATTCTAGTAAGAAAGAATGCCGACCTTTCACAATTTGATTTGCACATACACACACAGTTGTCATTTTTCTTTTGCCACTTTTCCTTAAATTCAGTGTAGAATTATTGCTTGTGGAATAGAGTCACAATCTTAATGTAATCAAAATAAATTGCTTTCCCCATTCTGTTCAGTAGACAATGCAGAGGAAGCTTTATTAATCCTAACTGACTTATTTGCTATAAAGACATAATAATTTTTTGCCAGTACTTTGTGTGTCATCATCTGAGGCTGTTTAAATTAAATTTTTAGATTTTGTACCTGTATTTATTTATGTATTTATTTATTTACCTATTATGCGATGAAGAGATTATTCATTTTTACCCACTGTTTTTCAGTTTTGGTTGTTTGCTTAATACCTATTTTCTTACTGATTTTAGGAAGTATATATAATCAGTACCTACTTATGAAAGTGTTATAGTGATCTGACTATAAGTCAGTAAGTGCCAAGAATTTTCACATATTAATTTTTTCAGTAATTTTTATGGGTCTATATTTTTGTTTCCACTTAGCTCTTGCCTATTAACTCAATAGTTGACCCTCACAAGACTAACCTTAAAATCCTCTTGTAGGTTTTTTCAAGTCTTATAAGCCTACTTGACAATTATTGTGTTCCTTATCTGCATCTCACAATTTTGCTTCTTCACGTTTATTATATGGCAAAAATTTTCTTCTAAAATGATTGTAACTTTGAAATTTTGCTTAAATTCACTAAAATTCATTCGTTTTATTACAGGTTGTCAAGTTGAAGCAAATAGAGCATACTCTGAATGAGAAAAGGATATTACAGGCAGTGAATTTCCCTTTCCTTGTTCGACTGGAATATTCTTTTAAGGTAAATTTTGGTAATATCTAAGTAAGTTATTTTCAAGCAGATATACATTTTAAAATATAATTCTGTAATAGAATTCTAAGTCAGATGATAAGCTGGAGAGTATGAATAAATAAATAGAGCCATCTTTAGATTTTTATGTAATCTAATTCTGTTGTGCTTATAAGCTTATGTAGCATTGGAAAAGGTTTTAGTTCTCTGTGGAACCAATGTTCAACATGATGTGTGATTTTGCATAAGAAGGTATTAAAAGTCAATTACATTAGTGATCCAGAAACATGGCAGTATGTTATTACATAATTCTTGTACTCATGCAAATGCATATGATAGAGACAACTCTACTTCTCTTAAACACTTTTTACCATGACCTCATCACTTTATTTTACTTACTAATTTATATTCTACTCTTTTATACACAAGGCAAAACATTCTTTGCTCTACTGTTCAAGTGTCTGATAAAGTACAAAAGGTTTATTCTTTAAATTGGCACCTTTTCAACTCTTTGGAATAATACTTGGCATCTCTCTGCACAGTTGAATCGTATAAAACACTTTAACCTTTTTCACCCCAAATGAAGACCTATGCATCCAAGATATTAAAATCATTAATTAACCTCTTAGACATAAAATATTCTTACGAACTCTTTTCAAACTAGTTTTTAACTTTGTTTTTCCCTTGCATACACTATGGCACTATATCATTGCCATAATGTCTAATTATTCAAGAGTTAAATGTTCCCTTTGAAACGGAAGAGCAAAGTGCCAGGCTAGTATATGGCACTAATATATGACTAATATATGGCAAGAATACCGGAGGGATGGTGAAGAACTCAGCATAGAAAAGCTAGAGCATTTTCCATTTGTTCTCTTTTTTTCCTCAATTTTATTAATCTGTCAGATTTTGATTTTGTCCTGTTCTGCTTGAATATGGTATAATCTTAGACTATTCTTAAACCAGATTTTATAATTTTGCGTTATTTCCTTTTGTTTGTTGATAGGATAATTCTAATTTATACATGGTTATGGAGTATGTTCCCGGTGGTGAAATGTTTTCACATCTGAGAAGAATTGGAAGGTTCAGGTAACTGAACTTTCTCCCTCAAGTTTTCTCCCTTCCTCAAGTCTTTGTACGTGTGGCTTTTTTTAAACCAGATTTTTAAGTTAATACCAGTGCCAAAATTTCCTTTCATTTAAGTAACCAGTATTTTAGCAATATGAGGCACTGGGTAAAAAAAAACATTAATAAAAGACCATGTCATGCATGAGTTTTAAAATTAAAAGAAGCAATATGAAACTAATTTAAGTATTTTAACATTAGTAGATATTGTGAGATTTATTTGAAGTTTCTTGAAAATGAAAACCTTACATTTAAAATACTATTATTCAACAAGTAATAGTTGAAATATAATAATACAGTATTTAACATTATAATAATGACATTTATTAATAATATTTAAAATAAGTACAGGAGGCTGAAGATGAGAAAGAAATATATGTAAAAATAATAATAGTAGCATTATGGTGATATGATTATAAAAATGGTGCTTTTCACAAATTTCACTCTCCAAGTTTTTCCTAGGTTCACAATTCAAAATACACACCTAATATAAGAAGAGTTTGTACCTTATTGTTATGTTATTAGTAAGATCTAATAAGATAAGATGTTATTACTACTAAGATATTAAAATAGCTGTGTGATAGTTCATAGATTACTATTGTCAATTAATAATCTATAGTAGAATGAAGCTAAAACCAAGAGTAATGTGAGCTTCATTTACTCTGTATATAAATTTCAGTTAAACATGAGTATGACCTCAAAAGGTACTGAAGATGGTATATTATATTAAAATATTATTTTAAAATATTATTTTTAAACATTCTACAAATATTTTCTGAAGACCTGATGTGAAGCAGGATAGGATATGAGAAATCTACTGACAAGCAAAAGAAATAGCATACATATCATTATATTTTTTAAAATTCTATTTCTGGTACTACCAAATCAAATTCATGTCGCTTATCTTGAGGAAATTCCTATTAATAGTTAAGTTGTTCATTAAAGATACAAATCTAAAAATCATTGCAAACTTATCAAGCAGATTATCCGAGTTCAGTGAAACATACTAGAAAATTGATTATAAATTTAAATTACAAAATCAGTATATCCTTTGAGAGTCATACTTAGATTGTGGCATGAAAATTATGCTGCTGTCAAAATTACAATGATCCTTAGCAGTAATCTATGCATACAAGGACTGTGCATGTTTACACAGACCTACAAATTCTACATATGCCAATGTGTCTGTATAAACATGTATAGTAGAAGATTTGGAAATTCCCATGCCAAGATTGCATATATGGTTTCTGGAAGGAATTATGAGTATTCCTTATTTTGCACCAATATTTTACATTTTTTCTATAAAAGCATGCATCATTTTTGTAATAAAATATGTACACTGCTCCTTTTGCTTGTCACTAAGTTTCCCATGTCCTATGCTAACATTAACCTTCAGCTTATTGCAGTTAAAAAGCTTCTAAGTAGTGACATTCTTTAGAGACTTGACATCTGTGAAAAATGTAGAGAGAGCCTATTAATGATAGCAATGGTACATTCCGTTTGGCACTTGGATTTTCAGTCATTCTCAGGGTCAGACATAATTCTAAAGATTATTATCTTCTAATGGGGGCAGTAATAATTTACGATAAAATGACTTTTAAGATTATGATTTGTTTATTTGCTTGCTTGTTTCTTTGCTTTTTTTTGGTTCATACTGTACTTGTGATTAAACCAGGGCCTTTACACTAAGAAGCATACCCCCCAAGTCAACCCCCTTTTAAAACATTTTGAGACAGGATCTTGCTGAGTTGCTAAATTGCCCAAGCTGAGCTCAAACTAACAATCCTCCTACCAGCCTCCCAGAGTATTTGAATTACAACTGTTTGCTAAATGCCTACATAAGGTTATATGTTTCTTCAATGTAAATTAAATATCAGATGTGGAGTGCATCCAGGTACATAGAGAAAACATGTCCCCTAAATGTATCAAAGCATTATTTGAAGATAATTTACAGAATATTTGGAAATTAACCAAATTCTTTACATACCCTTAAAAAGTGCTTCTCTTTCCCAGCATACCTTACCACATGTTAATTTTTATATATAACATACTCATTAGTATTTATTATCCATGGTACCTGAAAATCAGTACTTTGTTTCTTTGCAGTGAACCCCACGCGCGGTTCTATGCAGCTCAGATAGTGCTGACGTTTGAGTACCTCCACTCGCTAGACCTCATCTATAGAGATCTAAAACCTGAAAATCTCCTAATTGACCATCAAGGTTACATCCAGGTATGACTTGAACACAATTTCTGTGCTGTATTCAGGAAAGTACTAAGCAAGAAGTTTTGCTATTTAACCTCAACATGACCCCCAGAAGTTTAAAATTCTACATGTGGCTATATCTGATAGGTGTAGTCAAAATGCAGGAAAAAATGTATAAAATTACCTTCAAGTCATGACTATAGGGTGTGTATGAAATATAAATGAATTTTGTGTTTTAGTCTTGGCTTCTATGCCAAGATCTCATTAAGTATATACAAATATTCTAAAATCTACAGAAACCCAAAATCTGAAGTACTCGGTCCCAAGCATTGTGGATAAGAGATGATCCACCTGTATTATCTGTCTTAACCCTGTGAAGTGTAAATTGTGTTGTTATTCTCATTTTAGGGCAAACAAAATAAGGCAAAAGAAGGTTATACAACCATTAAACAGTAGAGTCAGGATTTAAACCTAGACAGTCTGATCTGAGTCCACGCTCTTTACGTTTACAGTACGGTAGTTGTAGTACAGTAGAAGTGCCAATCCATTTTACCTAGAAATGGAGCAGCAGCCCTTTGCACAGTTATCAGTAGATCCTCCCGGTAATGGTTTCATGCTTTGACAGTGCACTTAATGGTAAAGAACACATTGGACTTAAGGAATATTTATTATATTGTTGCATTATTATTAAAACCATTTCTTTTTGTGTTTCACTTTCACTTTTATTCCTTGGGATTTTTATGAAAAAGAACTGAAAAGTGTTTTGCTGCTATTCATTTGTTTTGAGAGGGAATAAGGCTTTCCAACATGGGTTGTTTTAACTTTCATTCACTAAATAGTTGTCTTCATGCGTAAGTCTCAATTATATTGACTTACTTTTCCCCCATTTTTCATGGTTTCAATTTTTACCTTGAGTTTTTAACTTTTAGTTTAATTACATTAAACACACTGATGGTGAAGTGATAAAGTTTCACAAGTCTGTTTTTTGTTTCTTTGTTTCTTTGTTTGAATAGGTCACTGACTTTGGATTTGCCAAAAGAGTTAAAGGCAGAACTTGGACATTATGTGGCACGCCAGAGTATTTGGCTCCAGAAATAATCCTCAGCAAGGTATGCTGATAATGCTGGTCTGTATGAAGCAGGAATGTGAGGCATGCATCACAATGGAGTTTTGACGAAACAGTTTATTAACCTAATTTTTATTGGACCTAATATTAGACCTAATATGTATATTAAACCTATTTATGCATAATTACTAAAGAATAATTATTTAGAGTCTACCATTTATTTTATAATTTCTGTCAGTTTTAATTATGGATGTTAGAGAAAAAGAGGGAATAAATCTAACTGCTACTATATATTCATGTTTTGACCCAAAACAGAGCGTTTTGTTTTGTTTTGTTTTTGTTTTTCATAATTATTCCCAGTAACATGAGAGGAAGCAAGCAAGAGATGATATGGACCAGGTGTCAATCTAGAAATGATATGGACTAGGTTTGAGTTCTTCCTTTGTTTCAAATTTATCACCTAAGTGAAAGGAATGTAGGAAATCATTTTGTAATTTTAGTTTAATAGTAGTATTACAGCAGTTGACCAGGTTTAGAATAGAGAAAAGCCATGGGAGAAATGGTAGCCATATTTAAAAGAATGGTTTAACTTCTCTCTTCCTTAAAAAAACTAGAAAGGGAAACTAACAAAAATTGAGTGTAAATAAGAACAAGGAAAGGGAAAGAAATAAAAGGTTCACATTGATGCACCACAAACTGACATATTGAAATTTGGCTGAAACAAAATATTTCTTATAGCTCTCCTCTTATTATCTTTTATAATCTACATCTTTTATAGATTGTTTACTCTTTTATAATTGTCTTTTTACTCTTTTATAATCTAAATATCATTGCTGTTTCTTCTTTAAATGTGGCTAACAATGTCATCACAAAATAAGCACCAATATTTGTACAAGTATGTATAAATTGTGAAAGCAATAGATTGTTATTGTAAAAAACTTGGAAAATACAGAAAAATATAAAGAAACAACCCCCGAAAAACATGTAATCCCACCACTTAGAGATAGACTTAAAGAAAAAACGTATCAATGTATTTTTATATGCATGTTATTTTAATTTAGATCATAATGAAAATATAGTTTTGTGTCTGGCTTTTCTCACTTGTGTAGCAACAATTATGCAAACACCATTTTGTGTGTGTGTGTGTATGTGTGTGGTGCTTATGTTTGTGTACTGACATACCATAAAATATTCAACCAATCTTCCATTGTTGAATATTTAGGTTTCCTTTTTCTTGTCTTTTTATTGCTTTTATTTTAAAGAGAAAAAACTGGGGCTGGGGATTTAGCTCAGCGGCAAAGCGCCTGCCTGGCAAATGCAAGGTCGTGAGTTCGGTTCCCGGTACCGGAGAAAAACCAAAAAAAAAAAAAAAAAGAGAAAAAACTAACAAACCAACAACAATGAAGACAAAAACAAAAAGAACACATAAACAACAAAAAACAATACATGAGCTCAAAACAAAATGATAGCTGCACTACATACTGTTACCTTCACCAAAGTTGCTCAGTCCACCAGATGTAAGAATGCAAGGTTGATCAAACAATCAAAGACAGTAACAAGTAATAAAAAAATTGGAAACGATACAGAGCTTCACCATTGTTTGCTTTTTCTTTTATAGTTGCTGTTGTTGTTAGAGGGTTTTTGTTTGCTTGTTTTCATTTTTTGCTATTATAAACAATTGTGATAAACATCTTTGTATATAAAGCTTTTTATGTATTTCACATAATTTCCTTTGGATAAATTCCCAGAAGCAGAAGTACTGGGTCAAAGGATATGAGCATTTTAAACGCCCTTGATATGTATTACCAAAGTGTTTTCCAAAAAGACTGTACCATTTTATACTCCTACCAGTAGTGTATGAGAGTACCTGTATTACCACACTCTCAAGCACTGAGTATTCTCATTTAAAAATATTTACTGCTTCTTAGATTTTTTCCAATGCTTAATAGCCATTTGATGTTTCTTTGTTTCTTTGTGTGTATGTATGTATATAAATTATTACTTCCTGTCCTTTGCTTGTTACCTGTTGTAACTTAGTAGTTTCCTTATTGATTTGTTTTAATTCCCTATACTTATGGTATTAGCTTGTATCTGGCACATTTAGTATAAACATTAGCATAGAGTTTAAAACATCAACAAGTTAAGTTATTCTTACATCATTTTTTCCTTTTCAAAATAATACCGAATCAGGAAAAAAAAAGGTCGGGGGGGAATAGCTGGGGATGGTAGCACATGCCTGTGATCCAGCACTCTGGTGGAAGGCTGTGGCAAGAGGATCACAGATTCCTGCCTACTCTGGGCAGCTTGTTGACTTGGTGAAACCTTAGTCTCAAAATTAAAATAAAAAGAGTTGGGAATGTAGCTCGGCATAAAAGCTGTTGGTTCAATCACCAGGACTGGAAGAGGGAGGGGAGCAGAGGGAATTATAGTATTATATGTTAGCTAATAATTTGGAAAGTAAACCATTTGTAGAGCTAACATTATGACAAAAGGCTGGAATGTGGAGAGGGTGATAGTAATTAGAGGGGACATCTGAGGGCAGAACACAAGGCCTGGGAAGAACTCAACTTATCTTTCCCCATGATTGGAGAGTGTGAGCTTTTTCCCATATTCCTTTGTGACACTTGACACAGAACATAGTTGATAACACACTTAGTGTACACATGTTAACATATGCACATTATGACTGATTTTCTTATGCTTCTAAGTGTTAATTTTAGTAACTTTAATAATTAAAACCCAATTCACCATATCTTTGAATTATACATTTGGTATGCAAAGCATTTTAAACATATTGTTCTCTTTCACTTAATGTACAGGCACTCCTCATTTAATGACCAAATTACAGTCATGCTGCTGTCATTAAATGAATTGGTCTCTGAGTGAGGAATTGTATATAGTATGTACATTACAATATTCAGAAAAAAGACATAGTCAAAGCTGACTTTGCTTTTGTTTGCATAATTCTTACATATGGTACTGTAATGTATAACAGAACATAAAACTACAGTACTGTAATATACAGTACAATCAGAAAAAATTACAGTACTGTATAAACAAGGTGTACTGTACAATAAAAGACATTGAGGTTCTATAAACAAGATGTAACACTGGTTGTAAGTCCAAGTGACAGGTCGTAAGTCCGAACAGTCCTTAAATAGGTAGGTCGTTAAGCAAGGAATGTCTGTACTTTTCATAAAACCCTACGTACTAATTTTCTTTCCTGTATATGTTTAAAGATAAAAAGAAAATCAGTAGATTGCAAAAGTAGGTTACATTTAAATATTTATATTAATTTGGTTCCACATTAAATTTTACCCTTCACAAGATCCTATGAGATAGACATGATTATCTCCAATATATTTGCCTTCCAAACTCCTGGAATGTAGAGATACAATGTAGAGATATACTCCTTCATATTTTGAAGTCAGCTCCAATATTATCCCACTAGTACTGTTTTGTTTCAAAACCTTTCACCTTTCTATAGAAAACCTAATTTGTAAGATTTGGACCTATGATAGGCCTTAGGAGGTATTGGTCTAGCTCCCTTTCTGTTGCTGAAAAACAAAGTTTTCTCAGAGAAACAAGACAAATTTCATTAGCAGTAATAGTCATCTTGGTTTTAGGGAAAAGATTTAATAATCTTTTCTAATATTCAATTCCGGTATCTGGAAATCCTCCCTTTTGTTTGATTTAAATCTGATATATTTTGTTCATTTTTTAAATTCTATCCAAATAGCTGCTTAGCAACTGCATTAAAATTTTTATATGCTTCCAGATAATTTTGAATTACATATGAGTTCATTTTCCTCTGAGTAACTTAAGTAGTAATTGACATTGGTGTTGGTTTATCTCAGGGCTACAATAAGGCAGTGGATTGGTGGGCGCTGGGAGTGCTAATCTATGAAATGGCAGCTGGCTACCCCCCATTCTTTGCAGACCAACCAATTCAGATTTATGAAAAGATCGTTTCTGGGAAGGTGAGTTATATATTTATCATTCCTTTCTTATTCATTATTTCTGTACATGAATCTTAAGGTTTAAAGATTGGAGTCATATTGTGTCATCCCAATATTACCCTCAATTTGAAAAAATATAAAAGTATCTGATACTGCTGATCTTGTAAGAAAAAAATGGCAGTTGTATCATCAAATTAGAAAAACAGTAAAGCAAATTTTTATTGCTTACAAAAAACAGGATGATTGCCATAATTCTCAATATTCATTCAAATACATACTAATTGTTAGTTATTTCACATGGGTAGGCCCTTGGAGAGAAGTTTTAGGAGCTGTTTTTCTATGCTGTTCTTTTTCAGGAGAGAATTCCCATTTGAGTTATGTCAGAAACCCCCAAGTGGGGCTGGGGATTTAGCTCAGCGGCAAAGTGCCTGCTTGGCAAGTGCAAGGTCGTGAGTTCGGTTCCTGGTACCGGAGAAAAACCAAAACCAAAAAAAAAAAAAAAAGAAACCCCCAAGTTAGAAGGAAATATAAAATGGATGAGTTTATAGAATTGATTTTAACAGAAGTGTTCATGTTGATTTTAATTGCCATTGATATAAACATTATTCTTGAACATGAGTAATTTACTGGGTCATAATGTTTTACATTTTGTACATAACCACGTAAAGCTTTCTTTTACATTTACACTCTCTAATTTTGCTTCCCAGGGCATTTTGTTTAGGATCACTGACCTCTCACAGTTCATGTCTGAGATCTCACTAGAGATGAGTCTGATTCTCCTTACCAAGTAGCAAAGACAGAGAAGCCTTTTAAGCCTCTCCAGCAAGAAATGTTCTGTACGTTAGGGAATTAGTGATAAAGTATATGAGAAGGAGTATTCTTCCTTCTTTCTGTTCCTGCATACGGTACTTTCTCTTACTTTGTCCTTTTTGTTAAGACCATGTAGCTCTATTTAGAATATGAACAGGACAGAACATAAATTTTCCCATCACGTTATCCTGAGATCTGAGATAATTGACTATTTTTATGTTAAGATCATTTTAGGCAGAGATAAACCTAATCAACCTAAAGATTCTGATAGAAGATAGAGGCAAAGTCTCCATTTCTTTGTATCTCAGCCAGATTCAAGCTCTGAAAAGTATAAAAGTTCACTTCAGGATCCCTGAATTTAAAATTTACAAGATTATATATAACAAGATACCCAAATGGCCACCATGCAATAATTTATCTTTTCTGCCAGGACCCAAATTTAAATCAGGGATGCTACGCAGGTAGGCTTTAGGAACAAGACATTTAACAACACAACATGTCTATTCAACCACTTAAGCATCCACATTTCAGCGTCATATTGTTCCATATGTCATTGTCTATATGCAGGCCATAAAGATTATAAGACTTTTCTTGTATTTTATCACACTTTTTGGAGACAGCTTGTTGTTGTGTCTGTATTCATAAATTAGCAAACTAATAAAAAAACTTATACCTCATCTGTATCAGAGGTAGAATGTAAATACCTCTTACAGAACATAAAAGTAGACCATCACTGTTAAAGTGATCTCTAGTGTCTGTATTATGTGAAATACAAATCATAATCACTACTTTCCCTCATCCAAATCCAAACTAACATGTATCTCTAGCCACATTGTAAAACTCATATTATCTCTCTGGTTAGTAGATAAAAGCCAGATTGGAAGCTAACTAGTTTTTTTACATTCTGCTAATTTTTCAAGTCAATAAAAATCCAATTCTGGTTTTATATTTATGAATTTTCTATTTGCATTTAAATTTTTGATGGTCTTAATATAAAATAGCATTTAAGAATATACTTTTCATTCAGAATTACGTTTTCCTATTTTTAAAAGAATTACTTTTATGCAACATTTTATGTTGACTGTATTTTCCATTCTGAAGCCATACCATAAAAATTACAGGTATCAATGGTAGTCAAAAGTTAAAATAAAAATAAATGATTAGTTCACTGAAATCCATATATTTGAACATTAGCTTAAATATTTTCTCTATTATAATGTTTCAACTAAAGCTGGTATTTTTAAATGTACAGAAAGATGATCAATCAGCTTGTTAGATTCTCTCCTACACACATTTTGCCTTTAAAAAACAGAAGAGGTGGTATTTAAATGTCAAATTATTCATGCAGTATTAAGGTTCTGGTTTAGAAATGCATGGCTGACAGAAAAAATTTGTAATTTTGAATTTAACTATGCTTTTTCCTAGCAATATATATGCTGTTGTTTAAGATTAGTCTTTAAGTTTAGTGCCTTGGTGCCATATATTCTATGACAAGAATCACTCATGGTTTCCACAGCAACTCTATCAGGCTATATTATCCATGGACGTATAATAGTTGATATTGTGTTCAAAAGTGATACTTGCAAGTAGGGTAATCAAGTAACAGCTGTTATGGAAACCAGCTTTTAAAGTCTGGCTTACATAATTTTTAAAATTCTGAGCTTTGTTATATATAACGTAAATATTATACCATTTTTAACAATACCAAAAATGTACGAAGAAATACTGCACAGCGTCTAGAAGTGGAAACACAAGTATGTACTGAATAAACAAAGACTTGGTTAATTTTTCCCAAAAGTAGATCGATGCTCACTTGAAGGGTAATTGATTAGCAGCTCAGTGGCCATTTCTTTCTGTGTCACGGGGCCCAAACCCCATCTCCAGGTTTTTGATTCCCTGTTGAGAACTCACAGGACTTAGCATATACTGATGCTCGCATCCAAGACTTACTACGAAAGAGGGAATTAGCAAAAGGAAAAAGGCAAAGTCCAGAGGAAATCAGGAACCCTCAAGTCCTTCCCCAGTGGAGCCACAGCAATGCACTTAACTCCTCCAGCAATGAATTGTGAAACGTGTGAAATGCAGGACACTAGCTCATTAGAGACTCTGCCCATTGTTTTTATTGGAAATTATACATATATGCACTCTGCCTAGCACATACCCAAATCCAAGGTCCCCAGAATAAAAGCAGATATTCAGCACAAACCATATCATTTGTACAAACAGTCTGAGCCACTCTTGTCATGAAGGGGAAGTGTCACACAGTGTAAGGAACTGATCCCATTCAAGTTTCCGGATACCTGCTAGGGGTCAAGTCTCAAGGAGTCCTAAGGGGGTGATCTCAGGCCTGCTATTTTAACTCTTTTCTGTACATACTCTGTTTCCTTAGTAACATACACATATGCAGATATACCTCTACATTTTTTTCTAAGGCGCCATTGTTAATACTTTTTTGGGAAATTTAAATGCTATTTTTTGTTTGGCCCTGGCTATAGTTAAAGAGGCTTAGAAGTACTCAGAAGTCATTTTCATAAAATCAAAGGCAATTCTACTATTTATATAGGATCATTTTTTTTAACACTTTGCTGCAGTCATTTAAAATCCTCATTAACACCTGCTTTGAGACAGCTCTGCAGTGGTCTGAAGAGCAAATGATTACAAAATGGCTCTTTATTTTGTGGGAGAGGTGAGGATGGTGTGGGTAGTATTTCTCTGCAAGCACAAAATCTGTTTATCTAACACTGTTTCTGCATAGCACAGGAAACAGATTACAGAGCCCATAGACATGGCACCAGAATTTATAAATATTTTCAAATGCCCTAGCTCTTTCTTTTTATTTATAGTATTCAAGGTGATTAAAATTACACTGGGTCCTTTGAGGTAGTGTGGAGGTTGGCACCATGTCTATAGAGGCTGAATACTAGTTTATAAAAAGTTGTTAGGGCCTTTGAAAAGTTGACTAATATATATGATAATTTTTGATAGATAAATCCTTTACTGGTACTGTAAATGTTTTAGAAGCTCTTGTACCTAAGTGAAGGAGATAATTTAAATTTATTCCAATATAGTCTGACCAGAAATTAATAGATTATTGTTTGTTGGCTGTCTGCAAACTCTTCTGAGATATTTAAGCCTAGTAAATTTTATCCCAGTGCATAAAAGATAATGTTACTACTTAAACAACCCTTTCCCCTGCCAGTAATTGCAGAATAGCAGTAAAATTTTTTCCTTATATCAGCCAAAAATGAACTTTATAATTCCTGTAATTAAGCTCAGTGTAGACAAATTTGATTTGGACTTATTGTTTTCTTTCTAAAAGAAAAATAGTGCAAAGTCAATTAGTGAATTTAAATCACAAATACCATAGCAACATGAACTGATTTGCTTTGTTGGATGGAACTTCCTCTTAAGTTTGTAGAAAATAGTAGTCATTCCTGAAACTGAAATGTATAAGACTTTATAACTGGCCTGAAAGCAAAACAAATATTCTGTTGAGCTTGCTCAATTCAGAGTGAGTTTTATAGTTCAACATATTGCATAATGTAATTTGACGATGTTATTTTGGGTATTAGATATATTCACTGTGCTGTCCCTCTAAAGCAAGTCTAGAGCTATCCATTTTCCTCCTCACTCTATGAAGTTTAAGCCTTTAAGAAAGTTTTTATTCTATAAATTAACAAGTGGCACATGAACCAGAAAGAAAAGAGGAACTTCCTATGCATTCCAAATGATTTTCCTGACATGGACTGGAGTCCTTAGGTGGTCTGGCGATGGAAACATAGATTTCGTCCACATTCCTTCTTTGAATCCAAAAATCTGGCTTAGAATCATTAAAATAGCATTCTAATGGGAAGGTTAAAAATGAAAACTAATTAGTGTGTCTAAGATATTAGGCATAAGAAAAAGAAAGGCAGATCCATTAAAGTTACATAATTTCTTTTCATACCTGCCAGATGAAAAATATTCTCAGCATTTTAGAGATGAGAGAACTGAGATTCAGAAAGGTAAAGGGGTTTTCCCTAGATCACAGAGCATGTGTTTAACTGGTATTGAAATTAAAACCTAGGAGTTCTTTCTACTAAAGAAATAGCTTTGCTAGGTGTAGTAATAAATAGTTTCAGCTACTCAAGAGGCTGAGGCAGGAGGACTACTTGATCCCAGGAGTCTGCGGCCAGCCTAGGCAACATAACAAGCCTGTCTCCTAAAAGAAATAAATGAATAAATGAATTCTTAAAAAGAAATAGCTGGTAGAATTTTTGAAGTGTCAAAGATACTAAATTTTATTTCATTTAACTCCTTCAATTCCTCGTGTAGGTAAAGCAAGTCTCAGAATTGCCCCAAGCCAGAAAGTTGTTTGTAGCAAAGCAAAAGATAGAATCTAGTTCAATAGTTCGTTCGTTATTTCTCACTTGCTCCAGTTGCTCTTCAGTCTTTTTTATTCCTGCACTGCTGATCTTCCCTTCTTAGTCTCACTGGCATGGGCCTCTTCTTCCCCCCGTTACTGGTCTCGGTCAGCCTTCTGTCTGTAAGAGCCAGCTCGCAATTTCCAGGTGCATTTTTTCGGTTCAAACCTTACTCCTATATTCAGTATCCTATTTGAGATCTCCCCTCAAGTATCTAATAAATTTGCTAAATTTAGCATCTCTAAAACTGACAGGTTTTTATTCCCCCTAGAAAATCAGTTTCTTCCACAGCCTTTCATATCTCAATTGATGGAGGTTCCATCCCTGTAGTTGCTCAGACCAAATGCCTTGGAGTCTTCATCCCACATCTCATGCACAGGAAGACCCTTTTGGTTCCGCGTGTACAGAAGTCAGCCATTTTTGCCACCTATACCGCTACCCTTCTCACCTGAGCCACAAGAATGGTTCTTTTAAAAATGTTAAATCAAATCCTGCTACTTCTCTCAAAACCTTCCAGTGAGGGTCTATTGGCGGGGGCGGGTGCAGCCCAGTGAAAGAGCTCATACTAAGCTTGCAGAAGGTATCTGGTACTAGGTTGAATCCCTAGCACCAAAAAATGAGGAAGGAAGGAAAGAAGGGAGGGAGGGAGGCAGGGAACCAGCCAGCCAGCCAGCCAGGCTGGCATACAAGGATTGCCCATTTTCTTCAGAATAAAATTTAAAACTCTTACCATACTATATTTTGTGAGGAATGACATTTTTAAAGGATCACTTCAGTCGCTGTTATTGTTTATCTTCTTTCTCATTAGAATGAAAACTCAATGAAGGTAGGAATCATTGTTTTAGTTTGTTTACTAATATATCCCAAGCACATCAGTTCCTGCCACGTAGTCAGTATTCCATTAACATTTGTTGAATTTGAATTCATGCATTCATTAAACACTCATCAGCTTGACATATGGCAGATCAGCTCCATGTGCTAGATCAGCACTTCGGTTGTCTCTGTCGTCATGAAGTGGTCTCTATCTTTGGTGTCTCGCCCTAGAGATACTGACTCATTAGGTATTCTGTGGATTTTAAACATCTGCATTTTTTTGAGTGATCTTAGACAATTCAGATGTATATGCATCATTTCCCATGACCTTGCTCTGCATATCTTTACTTGACTGTATATGCAAGACTGTAGCAATACATTTAATCTCAAGTATATATCATTAGGAAACTCAGAAGTAACATCGTCTCTGAAGGTTGGAAAGAATTCTAAACAGGAAATAAAATTAAGGAAAACACCAAAGAAAGAACTCCAGGAAGTGTATATTGTGTGAGCACCTCTTTTATGTTGTACAAAAACCTTTTCCATGTTAAATGATACCAGGGTTCTAAAAGACTTATCTCTCAGAACTAATGGACTAGTGGGTTTAAAATATCTTTCTCTTTTTATATCTGACTGTTTATAGCAACTGTCACATTATTTGCTATGGCAGAAAGCTCATAAATATAGAAATCAGGAGTACTATCTTAAGTTATTTTCCCCACAGTCCACTGACCAAGTCAGTTGCCTGCTAGAACTCAAGTTCCTTATCTTTAAAATGAAGATTTCACTAACCTAAAATAAGCTTATTCTAGTTGCAGTAGTCTACAATTTTGATTTCATGTTCTAAGATAGTTGTAATTATAATGATAGAAAATACCTTCTCAATATGGTTTTGAAGGAAAAATTAGTCACTCTTCCTATGGTAGAATTGGTTGGTATCTCCAGGTTAATATGCTATCAAGAAGGAAATTATATTAAAATATAATTTTGTTTAGGTTATTTATGGTTTTTTTATGGTTTCTAACTAATTCCAATTTGATGATTTGACATGGCTCTAGAAATTATATTTCAGATTACATTTCAGAACTATCGTAGAAAAAATATTTTCACAATAATTCTCATTATTTCTCCTCTAAGATCTGAGAAATATCTTAGATATACTCTAAGATATGAGAAATTCCCACTATTAGTTTGACCATTATGAGAGTGTGAGCTACCTACCAAAATCTCTGGAGAAAAGGGTGTGATATAACAGTGAGGAAGATATGTCTATAATTTTATAAGGTTCTCAAATAAATTTGCTGTAAACCACCACCACTCCATTTGAGAATCACTGTTGGGCTGGGGATTTAGTTCAGTGGCACAGTGCCTGCCTGGCAAGTGCAAGGTCGTGAGTTCGATTCCTGGTACTGGAAAAAAGCCAAAAAAAAAAAAGAGAGAGAGAGAACCACTGTTAGCCTTGTATATACACGTATACCTTTTTCCCTTTAACTAATCTAATTAGTTTATTTACATACACTTTATTTACATACATACATGCAGACAGACATATGTAAATGGCTACTTTATGTATGTACCTATATTCTTCATGTACTGCATTATATATAACCAGAATCCAGAAAATAACTTCTATTTAGTAAATTACAGTCCGCAGTTCTGAACATCATGAAAGGGAATGACTGGCACATTACTATTTACCAGTTTGTGCAAGTTTAATTCTAAATGAAGACAGACCTATCTCAAGTAAGTTACTTCTTGGCATCTGAACAAAGGTTGGATGTACCACATGCAAAGTCTGAGTTAATGGAACCACTGGGGAAAAATCATTTTTAAAGTAAACAGTGTGCCTTTTAAGAACCCCTTGTTCTCTGCTTACTACTTCAGCTAGGGTAAGTGAGGAGAAAACAACAACAAAAAGTTTTTTAAAGGAAAATTTCCATCTTCTAGGAAGTTCCCCATCTTGATTATGTTCAGATGATGGAATCAGGGAACCAGTCTAGAATAAATAGAAGTATATACCCTGAACTCAGAGCACTTATTTATAAAAACACTGCTACCACTTAGCTCTGTAATCCTAGGCAGATTATTTAATCATTATAGGTCTTAACTGCTTCACCCACACCTAGAAAGTAGGGACAATAATTGTACCTAATCCTCAGGAATCTGAGTTTTCATCTTGTCTCCCAGTAGTCCAGTCGTACTGTTACATAATAGTAGAATTACGCTTAAAAGCTGTCTGCTAATAAATGAAAAATAGTTTCCTGTGCTGTGAAAGGCAGTGTGGGTTTTTATGATCATCTTTAGACTCTTTTTTGATAGATCTCTTTCCCAAGTGTACACACTAGTGCTTGTTCTGTTTCTGTTACTGGCTTAATCTGTACATCTCTGAGACAGAGGCTTATAAAGTGCGATCCAAGGGAATCTCTCTTGAAGATGCATAAGGCTTCTGATGTGGTTGGAAAAGTTCTAAATGTGTGCATGGCCAGTTATGTCCTTAAAGGGAGGGAAGTCCATGATTAAAATAAGGCCCTAAAAGAGCACTTTTATATCATTCACCCAAATAATTTGTGTATTTTAAAATTTTGATGGGATAGTAACTGCAACATGTAGTTAAAAGTATTTGAAGGTCTGAAGGGCATCACTAGATATTTTTATCTGCATAATAACCTTTCACCTTAACAAACAGCCTTTGTGAAGTCAAAACAAGAATGGTATGAGTCTTGAACGTGGGTTTTAGCACTTGCTCTAATTTTTGCAGGTCCGATTCCCATCTCACTTCAGTTCAGATCTCAAGGACCTTCTTAGGAACCTGCTGCAGGTGGACCTGACAAAGCGGTTTGGAAACCTGAAGAACGGTGTGAGTGATATCAAAACTCACAAATGGTTTGCCACAACAGACTGGATCGCAATTTACCAGAGGAAGGTGAGACTCTTCTTCCAATTGTAAAACTTTTTAAAAAGCTTTTTAAAAGTTAGAGTTTAAATTATAGAGGCATTTTCAAATTAGCAGAGGATTTCCGTGTTTTCTCTTTCAAATTAATCCTATGCAGAATCTAAAGTACCTCATAACCCACAATTTAAGAATGATTTTTTTGCTCAGATAGAGAAATACTGTTTTCGGTTTCAGTCACTAACCTGAAATGCTTTCCTTGTTAAGTTGTTCAGCCCTTACCTTTATTCTCCACAAGGCTGTGGAAATTATGTATTAGGCAATATCCTTAGGGTTTGCATTTCAAAACTGACTTGAAACCGCATAAAAAGACAACATATAAGCAAGTATAGTCTCCTTTCCAGAAATGGCATGCAGGCATGCAGCCAGATATAACATTTCATTGATTTGATTTCATTTAATTTCTGAAGATATTTTTCAGTCTTTATTTTTACTTCAGTTGGCATGTATCAGACGTCCAAATTTTTTATGTAATATCTCCCCCCAAAATCGTGCTTTTTCATGAAAAAGTTTTCCCCTTCCGTCTGAATGGCTTTTCCCATTTGTGCATCTGTCATATTCTTATTAATCCTTTAAGAGTTCACTTAAATGTTATCACTGCTGTGATATTTTCTCTGAGAGGTATTCTTTGATATACTCACTATTGTTCCAACATACTGCATTGAGAACAGGAATCTTACCCGTTTTTATGTTCCTGTCATCAAATATCACTAAATATTTGCCAAATTATGTATTGAACATTCATCTTTCTTCACATACAACTTTCCTTTATTCATTTGAAAATAATTTAAGGATAAAGAGTGGAAATAGGAGTTCAGATTAAGGGTTCTTTGGAATTATCTGAAACTACTACAAATTATCTGAAACTACTACATTTGGCCTTTTAGCAATTATTTATTCACATACTTCTCCACATAATTTTTGAATATCTGAGTTTATGGTAGGTATTCTGCAATGTGCTGAGAATATCATGATGAGCATAATCAACCTTTGTTCCTGCCCATATGAACTTCATAGTTTCAGAGAGCAGGAAGGTTATTCGTAGAGTTAGGGAAGTAAAAATGAAAAGCAAAGAGAATAATTTTGTGGTTGAAGTTTTCAACTTTTTTTGCTCAAGGGATTCTGAAATTCAGGCAACTTGAAGGCTATAATGTAAATATAAAGCAAAGTTAATTTCTAGCATTAACCATAATAAAGAAAAGATAACTTGTAGTTAAACAGTAGCATATTTAAAAGAAACTAATTTTTATATTACCCAAGTTACCAGTGTATTAGCTATGTTGATTGTAGTATGTTAGTTACTAATAGTTACCACTTCATCTTTGTAATAAACTGAGAATTTTAAGAAAAGATTTTACTGTGCTGAATTACCTTTACCTCTCCTTTTACTTCTTAAATGCCAATAAAAATAACTTTGATAAATAGTGCTTTTATCTTGAGTTTATTTTTTTCTTTATTTTAAAAACTAGAACTAGAACTTCTATTGTTTTAGAGAATTGCCATCTTTTATATTGCTGGGGAGCCACATGAGTAAGTTTCCTGAAGGAGAACATATTTTAATATTCTCATTAAATATTAAGAGCATTTTTCTAATTTATAAGTTTTTAAAACATTATAAAAACAAGGCAATAAAATAATTTTAAAGTGCAACAAATAGAAAATATAGGAAGACCAAAACAGTGGCAGTATACCCTCTGTATCTCACAAGAGGGGTCTAGAAGTTAGTTTTTAAATTCATAAAATATAGCTGTTAGCATCATTATCTCAAGTGAATATGTTATATAGTCAAGAATAAGGTCCATAGTGATTTTTTAATTTTTTTTTTATTTTAAAGAGAAAAAACCCAAAATTTCAAACCAGATAATAGGAGAGTAGTAGCGGTTAATACACTGCATATTGTTATCTTTAAATTACTCAGGTAATACATTGTGTATTGTTATCTTTAAATTAGTTGCTCAGAGTACAAAATATAGGCATTTAATTGTACAAACGATATTAACGCAAACCTTTCTTTTCAGGGAACTAAGAGAAATTAGTAGTATAACTATCTTTGTGTGTGTGTGTGTGTGTGTGTGTGTGTGTATAGAAATTTTTTTTTGCTTTTCCTTTCCTTCTTTTCTCCTTTCCCCATCCCAGTTGCTCTTTCCTTTTGAACAGTTTCTTCCCTTTTACCAATATCTACTGTACATTTTGGATCTTATTTACTCTTTCAGTTTCTCACACTAGTGAGATTACATGATGTTTGCACATGCAGGTCTGGTTTATTTCACTTACGAGTATGGTCTTGAGTTGCATCCATTTACCTATAAAAGTCCCAAGTTTATGCTTCTTTATGACTGAGTAGTACTCTATTACATAAAAATACATCTTTATTAACCAGTCCTCAGTTGATGGACATTTGGGTTGTTTCCAAGATCTAGCTATTACAAATTGTGCTGCTATAAACATGGGTGCACATAAATCGCTGTGGCATGATGTTTTTAATTCTTCTAGGAAGATACCCAGAAGGGTAATAGCAGGGTTGAATGGAACCTCTAGTCCCAGTTTTTTGAGAAATTGCCACACTGATTTCCACAGTGGTTGCACCAGTCTGCACTCCCACCAATAGTGGAGAAGGGTTCCTTTTTCCCCACAGGCCCTCCAGCATTTGGTATTGGTTGAGTTTTTGATGATAGCCATTCTTTCTGAGGTGAGATGGAATCTCAGTGTTGTTTCAATTTGCATCTCCCGAATGACCAGTGATATTGTACGTTTTTTTAATGTATTTATTTGCCGTTTGTATTTCTTCATCTGAGAAGTGTATATTCATCTCAGATGCCCATTTTTTAATTGGGTCTTTGAACTTCAGGGGCCTGAGTTTTTCAATTCTTTATATGTTCTATATATAAGTCTTTTGTCTGATGCATAGTTGGCTGAAAATTTTTCCCACTTTGTGGATTGTCTTTTCACTCTGTTGGTGATCTCTTCTGATGTGCAAAAGCTTTGTAATAAGATGAGATTGTAGTGTCATCTTGAATGAATTATTTGACTTCTATAAAACATCATTTTTATCAACCTTAAAATTTGGATTAAGACAGAGAATACAGAAGGAAGAATACCTTCAAAGACAAGATTGGTCCAGGCTCCTTTTCTTTCTGGCTGTGATATATTTCATATAATTATAATCAGGTAATTTGTTAAGAAAAGACACTTGAAATCATCCTAAATCCACTATCCAGGTAGGATGTCTGTTTGACATTTGACATAGACTTCTTTCATTCTGCTCTCTGTGTTCTCCATCATTACATCCTTTTGCATGACTTAGTGACTGCCTAAGACCTACTTTCTCCATGCCTGCACTTTCCCCACCAATAGTACCGGTACACAATTCCATTCTAGTGATTCCCTGCTATATTACAAAACCATTTTTAACCACTTACCAGTCCAGTTATTGAAACAGAATGACCCTGACTTGCATTTTTCATTAATTTTCACAATGTAACCAGAAATATAAAAATCACAGTTTTATCGAGTTTATTCAGTACAAGAATTGACAAATCGAGATGTCACTTGCCTGAGGGATGTTCAGGATAGTCAGCAAGCAAACTAAGTCATCTGTTCCACTCTAAGTACACTGCTCTAAGTGGTTGGTATTTTCTTGTAGTGCCTTTTGAACTATAACTTCTTCGCTGTTACATAATAATTAGCCAGTTTCCTTCTCGACGTTTACTGAATAATCCTTATTTGGTCCCTTTTTAATGCTACACACTTTGACTTATATCTGAACTTTATTATTTTGTTAGTTCTCATTGCTAATTCTTGTACTGTACTCTATAACTTTTTAATGCTTTTTAATATTATCTGGGTCTAATTCCTCTATCCTGGTTCCAAATTTTCTGTTTGTACATTATTTTAGAGGCAATTTATTAGTCTAAGTATTAAGAAATATTTAGAAATATAAATAAATATATCTTAAAAAGCCATCTTGAATCCCTATATTTTTCCATTTTTTTATTAGACTTGGCCAGTGACTTAACTATTGTCTGAACTTTCTAAACATTTATGTTGCATTTGGAGATTTTACTTGTGATTACAGTACAGTTGCATATTAATTAGGACAACATCTGCATCTTAAAAATGTACCACGATGAACATATTATGCATCTGCATTTATTTAGATATTTTCTGGCGTTGAGTAAAGTTTTAATTATTCCTTAAATGTATGTTTTTGTTGCTGCTGTGAATGTGTTTGTTTTGCTATTTTAGCAAGATATGGGGAAAACATATTCTCTATATTTACATTATAATTTACCAGCCTACTAAATTCCGTTGTTGCTTTCAGTAGGTTTTTTATGATTCCTTTGGATTTTTATTGACAGCAACAGGGGCAAGGATTTCATTTTGCCTGTTTCTTTTCCAATATTTACAGCTCTTATTTTCACTTTTGCTTTAATATATATGCTAAAAATGTCTAGAATGGTATTTTAACATAGTAAGGTGTGTAGCTTTCTTGTTCTGTCTCTCTGTTGAGCAGAAGTGCCTTGCATCTTTTACCACTAAAATGAAGTTGGCTATGTGTCTAAAGTGACTATTCTTTAACCAGATTAGGGAAATAACCCTGATTCCTAAGGTATCTTCTTAGACATAGACTGTGATTAATAATATTGGGCAGGTAGTTTTACATCTCTGGAATGAATACAATTTAGTTATGGTATAAAAATAATTAATTAATTATTAT